AGGAGGAATGCAGACCGTCCCTTCCCTGAAATAGTGTACAAGTCTGGTAGTTGGGCCCCTCTCCTTAAGAGGTGAGAGATGTCATTTTGAACCCCTCAGAGAACAGGCATAAACCCAAATCTCTTGCACCTTGGGTAAATGCTCTAACCATTGAAGTCTTGAAAAAACAAGAACATAATCAGCATTTAAAAAAAACAAAGTGATTCCCCCCCCCCCGCTCTATGCTCTAAAGAAAGGACTTAGGCACTGCCATCAGAAGAGTGTTCAGGGTGATGAGTTCAAATCAGGATTAGGCACCTAATCCCTTGAGACGGGTAGGACATAAAGTCTTGGGGGACTCCCTCTCAGTATACTGGCTATTGTGACTCCTATTCCAGGGAGCCTAACTCTCCCTGAGCATTGTTTAAAGAACCTAAGCACCTAGCTCCCCCTGTGGATTCTTTGTTGATCCAGCCCCAGGTGACCAGAAAGCAAAGGAATTAGCTAGCACTACTCAGTAAAACAGGTTAAGGACATGTAGGTTCATGTAGGTGAGAAATGTTTTCAGGAGTTGCTCCTGGCTCTGCTGATGGGAGATGCAGTAAGGATGGTTGGTAATGGGATGACCATGAGAAGGTCAAGAGGGTGAGAGATACAGATGGATACATTTTATGGTGGGCAACAGAAACACAGTGAACACAGAAGAAACTGGAAGACCCAAGGCAATGCTTTCATTAAGTATTCTGTGCTAACAAAACTTTGTGACACAGCCATCCTGGGTGTCAAATTATTTAACTTACTGATGAGTCCTGTGGGGCTGAGTGGTGCAAGTGACTTTGGCAATAACAAAATACAGAAGAAAAAAACTGAGCAGGTACGGGAGGATTTCAAAGACTGTGATCTGAAAATCAGGGGAAAGATTTCAAAGTTAAAAAAAAAAATCTCTGGAAACTCAAGGGGAATAAAAAAGCAGGTGAAAGATATTAGCTTGCCAACAACCAGTCTGAGAGTACTTGCTGGTCAGTCCAGAGGAAGCCAGTCTGTCTTGCCAATAACCAGAAATATTAGCAGTGACCTAAACTATCACCCAGCAAGGCATCCAGGTTTCAGACAGCAAAAGGTAAGGGCAAGAGTCATTTTCCTACAGACGGTTATACCTTTTTGGATTCTGTCACTTTTGGACGCAGATACTAAATCCCTGGTGCTGTCTTTAGCTTCTGGCTATGCTCTATATACTGCGGTTAAATTACTGATGTATTAATTGCTAGCTATTTTAGATGCTGCAGTTGCCGCTCTCATGTACGTTTAGTGCCTTTTGCTGCTGCGTGCTCAAAATACTGTGGGCAGTGCTCATGTCTGGTGCTTGTTTTAGTTGCTTGGCTACTATGAAATGTTATCTTAGCATTTCTTGTGGTGTTGCAGTTGCTTTCTTGATAATGGCGTCCAAATAAGAAATATGTAAAAGATGCAAATGCCTATATTGTTCTGTCGCTTTTGCTACAGTTACCGCAATATGCTCCTTACTTTACTATTGCTGATACAGACTACCTGTACAATACTGGAGGGGGCAGGATCAGACTATTGCTGCCTGTTGAAATAACTCCAGAGGGATGCATTGGTGCAATGAAGATCATTATTTGACCATATGTGTTTGTATGAAGGGGAAGGGAGGTGGTGGGTAATTGCTTTACTGTTATGCAATCTTTTCTCTGTCAATTGCTACAGTGCAACTGGGATTTTAAAGTTATTTCACCTTTTACTATATTTTTGCCTGATTTCTCCCATTCCCCTTCCCTCTGAGAAGTACCAACAGAATGCAATTCAAAAAGAAACCAGAATAGAGGCGGATAGTTGACTGGTAGAAAAATAAGCTAAAAGCAGTGCATTTTGCTCTCTCTCTATACCTTTTTTTAAAATTTCCATCTGCCTAATTTTACCTCTTTACGTCACCAGTATTTCTGATTAAATTATTTTATTATACTTCTCATTTGAAATCTTTTGAAGTCTCCGAATATGCCATATTTTCTTCCAGTCAGTCCAAGAAATGTTTTGTCAACAGATAAATCGAAAATGGCAGTTGTTTTGTTTTGTTTTTAAATGTTGCTGCAATTATTTTCTTTCCCTTTTTTCTTCCTTTTTTTAAATTATTCCTGCTTTTTGGCAGTTGTGCTGAATTAATATTTATAAGATGAGATGTAGTTTTCTGTTTATATTAGCAGTCGTCTGTCTGTGAGATATGGACCAACCAGAATGCAGGATATCCTTTCTCATCGATCCATCAGGTTCATAATGTAAGATATTGTAATAAATGGCTATGTTGTCGCTGTATGGGTGTTCAGTGTGTTGCTATGGTGTTGTTAATACTTATAAACAGGTGTCATGTTGCTGAAATTGCAGAATAATTTGTATTGTCCACTGGTTTTTTTGGAACTATGTGTATGTACATTCATTTATCATGGCGTGTGATTAGTTTTTGTACGACTGGAAGTGAGGCAATTCTAGTTAAAACTTACTGTGGTAGTTTCACTGTCTGTTTCTGGTTGCTTTGTTTACTTACTTTTTCAAAGGAAACAGGTGTAAATAGCTTAGTCTGTGCACTTTCACCCTGTTTTGTGCAGTCCCCTCTCTACTCCCTGACAGTCAGCACAATCCTCTTAGCTGGCAGACTTTTGGAGATGTGCACTATCTTTGCATTGGCAGTAATCCACTTCTGCAAATTACATGCAGCCTTGCTGACACCCTGAATTTGTGTAATTTTTGCAGAAAAAAAAATTAAAAATGCTACTTGGGGTGGCACAAAATGTTATGTCTGTTGTAACTTGAGGAGTAGAACTCTCACAATAGTTCACCTAGCTTTACAGCTAGACTACAGAGAGGCTCACACATGTCCAAGCAGGACAGCCAACTGCCATGCTGGACTACCTCTTTGAGAAGAATGACATCTTGGCTCGCACATTTCACATGTATTCAAGCATACCACGTTATTATAAATAATGTAATACATTCTAAAACAGCTATGAAAAAAGCTTTCTTTTAACCAAAGTTAAAAAAAAATTGTACTAGATTTTAGCTGGTCCCACAGAAAAATTTTAATTTGTACAGGGAGAAAATATTTAAGTCCTTCTGGAAACTACTTTTTATTATACCAAGACATCTGGATTCACAGGAGGCTCTACACGTACAAAGATATAAGAAATATCTTTTCTTATAGATATTTAAGTTTAAAAAAAAAACACCAAAAAAACCTTGCCAAAACAGGTCTAAAATCCTGTAACATGTTTTGTCATTGGTCCATTTTTAATCTTTCTACAGAATCTTTCTACAGAAAGATTAGGAATATTTTAGAGAGTTTATAAAAAAAAAAGAATTGTGGGGATTAAAGCATACATCTATCTACCTCTGCAGTCCGATGCCGTAGTCACCAGGAATTAAATAAATGCTCAGAAAGCATGAGAAAAATTAAAATGCACATACATGCAGGAACTCTTAAAACGATGTATTAGCTTTTCTATACCTGTTGAGTGTTACTTCTCTTAATGTCAACTATCTCAGTCCTTCCTAGAGTTAAAAGCAACAGTAATGCATTTCATTGGAAAACTAGGAAGCTTATTGTAGGTGCTGGTATTTAAAGTTATGATATGCAAAGATAGAAAAGCTGTTGCTGACAAAGGCCAGGATCTTGGTCATCCCAGCTCTTGATGGGAGATACTTTTATGGTGCGGGGGAAGGAAAGGAAAGGAACAGTGGCTGGTTGAAGCTGCTGGGAGGGAAGGGATGGGAGAAGGTTTGGAGTGTTAGAATAACCCGAAAGACAGATTTATGCACAGCTGGTGCACCCAAGACTGTGTGATAAATTGCACAGGTATCTGGCAAACTGTAAAATACTGTGATGAATTAATTTATCACAGGCCTCTCCAGTTTACCTCTTAGATATTAACTCCAGCCCTATATTATGTAGAACTCTACATACTGTTTGTAATTGTTTGGTTACTTCTCAGTGTCCAAATAAAAGTATTAAAACTAAAAGCAGATTTAAAAGAACACATGTGGTTTAAAAACTAAACTGAAATGTTTTGGCCCATTGTCCGAGTTTACAAACATTTTTAATGTGCCTGAAAGAGTGCTGGGCCTAAATCCCAGAACATAGCTCATGAGTAAATGTCCAAACTTACTGAAATTTGGCATCACTGGCAACTGAAAGTTCTTCAAAATAAGCTTCCTCCCCAGGCTTGGCTGTCCCTGAATTTCCCTCCAGGAACTCCTCTTGCCCAGAGAGATGTTCCCACCCCTTCAGTCTATCTGGAGTTAATTGGACTTCTCAACTAATATGATTCATCTATAATTACTCTACATTTCTGTGCAGAATTTTAGCACCTGAATGGAGAGTGACTCAACTGAAGAGCTCTCTACTCCTATTCTCCATCTTGGAGTCTGCAGTATTATGCTGTAGAATAAGACAAAAGACATGGTCTTATCCTGATGCTTTTGCAATCTAATTGTAAACATAATGGAACAGGTGTAGGTGAAAACATCAGGATGGAATAGATGGAGTAAGAAAAGACAGTGGTTATGATTTCTTTTACTCATGCACATCTTTGTTTCCATTATAAATATTTTCAGATGGTAATTATTTTCATTGACTTTAGGAGCGATAGAGAATGCTGGCAATAGCATGCCCTAAAATTATAAGACACTTGGGAGGAAACAATCAAAAGGAAATGAGACCAAAAATAGTTTCAGCTGGATATGATGTATGACTTGCATAATGTATTATGTAATTACAAAAGAGCATCTTGGGACTCCCTGTATAACATAACATGACTTCTTAAAACATGGGTCAACAATAATCCATGCTTACAATGTGGAATATTGCAGTATTCCTTATTAGCTGCTACAAAAAAAATGCTGATGTAAATGCACAGATCTTCAACTCCAACTATCATAAAACTCCCAATAGCTTTGTATTTCTCTGTTCCTCTATTCTCAAATGTATTGTGCTTAGATCCACTATTATAGTCCCAGATAAAGTAATTTTATCCATTCTATTTTGTCTTAATTTAAAAGAAATAGAATCTTCAGTCAAGTGATAGTATTTGTTAATAAAGAGATTAATGAATATAAAAAACTGGTGACTGCACAGTTCCTATGTAAATGTATCATACTGAGCTCATTGTTTTAGCTGAGTATTATTTCTCATTTCCTCCTGACTGTGGCTTTCTAACTCTTATAGAAATTAAATCTATTAGAAATAGACATTATATCTGCTACAACTTCTCTCCATGGGCAGGCAGAGACCTTGGTTTCAGAATACCTTTTAAAGTTTAATCACTTTTGCTTTTAATAACTTCTGTGCATAAGTAGTCCAAACCATAAAGTCATTTATTCATTTTACTGCTCCTTTACCCATTTCAGTCTCTCTCTATTATCTGTCTTCTGCATATGGGGCAAATTCTCTTTTCATTAGTGCAATGAAGGAGTTTAGGAGCACTACGAGTGTCACTTCTCTTCCTTTCGGGGTTGAGGGGGCTGTGATTAAAGATTTAATTGTATGTCTTCTTTATTCCATCATTTTATCAGGCCTGGTAATATCCTCTTGCTAAGTGCATGAGATATTCCGTCCTGCAGAGCAGTATGCCCGTATGTATCAGACTTTTATTTCATTAAGAGCACCTATTGAAAAAAGTTTGAAAAGCAGGAGGATTTCAAGTATTCTTTCATCTAGGCACCCCTGAATGGTTAACAATTAGGTGTATTGTAAACTGTTTCAGTCCTGTTCCCCTTGTAATCAGTCATAAACCTCCCACTGATTTCAGAGAATCAGGCTCCAGAACTTTCCCTTTTTTTAAAAAAATCTAGTTGAATCAGCATTTCTGCAGAGGACATGGCTCTGACAAAACCCAGTTTCTACATTCAGATTCAATACAGTGAGAGATTCTTAAAAATCTGTAGTTTAGAGGATACATATTATGTAGATATTTCACAATATGCTATAATTGGAGCTGCTGACAAAATTGCTTATCTTCCAAAACTGAGACCTGTAGCACTACAGTTTACCCCAGTCATCTCTGCACAAGATCATTCTAGCTTTCTGTCTAGGTACTCAATAGTCCACATTTTCAAAGTATAAGGCAACACTAAATAGGCCAGACAGAAGTCGCTGCATCATCTGTAGGTAGGCGGTATAAGCACGGCATTAAGTACTTTTTACTTATTTTGTTATGTACGTACACTCACCTTAAGTTATCACATTGGCAGGGTAATATTGATGTATTCAGATTTATCTATTGCTTTTCATTGCAGAGTTGTGCAAATTTGTGTCCTTTCATTACTGTGTAACACATGAAAATGGATGTACAGTTTTTGTTTTGTTTATTGTGTCCTGAGTTAATTGATAAATTTGTTGTTTGCCAGGCTTCTGAATTTGTTTTTGATTTAACTCTTCAACACACTTGACGTTACTTAATGTTTCCCTAACTTTATTTTTTAATCTTAACAGAATTACATACTACTATTTATTATTTAAATTAAATATTAATTACCAACTGATAATTTGTTGCCAGTTCCAAACCAAGCTGAAAGAAAAATATTAGAGACAGTCAATATCTAGAGAGCTTTGGGGAAAAAAAAACAGCAAAACTCAAAGTAAAAAGTAATCATAGGAAAGAAAGAGTGGAGGAAGAGAGAAAAATCAATTAGGGGAGAATTTTTGAGGTCCATTCATAGAGATGTAAAGACTAAATATGACAGGGAAACTCTGTTATATGTATAGCAGACATCAATAGGTGATCAAAGTAAATAAATATGTAGAGAGGTTAAAGAAGGAAGACTGTAATGATAAAAAATAAGTAAAAAAAAATACCCAATCTGTTCAGGATATTAGAATTTAAGGATATAGAGAAAAACTTATATAAAACAGTAGTAACACTTATTTACAGCACAGAGCATTCATACAGACAAAACATTTAAAATAAGTAAGACAGCCTATTGTTTTAAAAGTAAAAATAAATTACATTTTGAATTTTACTCATTCCATTTTGAATGTGTGATTATTGTTGATGGCAACAAATTGTCCTTGATTACCTGTTAAATGGCACACTACTGTGACTAAGTATACTCCACCATTGATTTTTGCTTTTTAATATGTAAAACTAATATGCATCAGCATATTTAGCTTTCTTGCCTTACATGCTAAAGAATATATAATAAGTAAGCCATGTCAAGGTCTAAATTATTTGGCTAGTATGGGAAAATGAAAACTGTATTATTAACAATTAATTATATACATTAGGATAATAGCAAATGTATTAGCTGTATAGAAAAGCTTGCAAAACGTGTCAGCCTTATTTTTATATGAATGGGATTTTTCTGATCTTATGGCTTTTTCCAAGCATTCCTGTTTTAATGTCTCTTTCAAGAAACTATTTAAAAATAATAATTTACAGGTTTTTTATTTAATTGTTAAAAAACAAAAAACCCCAGACTGGATTCAAGCATTGCAGGAGTCTATAGCGGGTGACTATTGCATTATAAACAAAATCATGAAAATCTGCTGTACAAGTTGTATTTTAATATTTTAGTTGTGTAAGTACATATATAGCAAATCACAACTAGTGTAATTTGGGTATGGTGATAGGTAATTTTTAGCAAAATTATCTGAAGTTTATGTTACATTTTAGAATAAATATGATTTGCAGACAGGAGACTGGGGAGAGCCCTCAATTACCTTACGACCTCCTAATGAAGCCACAGCATCGACACCAGTACAGTACTGGCAACATCACCCAGAGAAACTCATCTTCCAGTCATGTGATTATAAAGCATTTGTAAGTGTTGGTTAATTCAGTACCTTGGTTTTGGTTAGATCATATCATGTTAATGTTACATTTTGATAGCTCTGTCCTTAAATTTACATTTCTCAGTTATAGTAGGTTAATCTTAATGAAATGAAAGCACCTCCTCCAGAAAATTGACAAAATTAATCAATAAGGTGTAAGCATCAGAAATATTATTTTGGTTATCAAATGGGTTGCAGCCATTGCAGTCATCAGAACTAAGAAATGACACCACCAGAAAATGGTCTTAATCCTGTGGGTAACAGTAAAATCCAGACAGCCCTATTTCTCTTACCTACCATATGCCCCGGGCTAATCAACTTGCTTGGTCAGAGGTGCAACATGTGAGCTCAGCCATATCATTGTCAAATATTAACATTGTCTATTGTCTAGGACAAAGATCTTACAAATGGTGATAAAATTCCAAGTGGTCCCTTTTCCTGTTTGTAGTGGACAGAAGCCAATAAACATAGTTTTTCTAATATTTTTCATAATTTTCCATATAATGCTTACTAATGCCATAGCAGCTTTTTCAGGAAAAGTTTTGCTGTTTGTGTTCATCTTATCCTTCATGTGCACAGTGCCTCAGCTCCAGGAAGTATTGACAACAAAGCTTTTGCAAGCCCAAGTTGCTGTGGCACTTTTTAGAAGGGTGTCGCATTTATTTTGTATGATACCTAGCCAGCTGTACTGGTGATATCTTACACCTTCTCACTGCACACTCAAAACCCAAGGACAAAGAATTCTTCCTCCCTCTTCCTTTGAATGCAAGCACTTGATAGAAAGCTGGGCCTTTCCCCTTTGCTTTCATGCTGGCTAAGCCTGACACTGCCTCTGCCCCTCAACTGGTGAGAGAGATACTTGCTCAACTACTAGCCTGCTGTTACTGCTCTATACTTGAAGCTGAGACTGGTCTTCCATTTCTCTCCTTTGACCTTTTTTTCTGTACTGGGGTCAACATGGGCAAGGGAAAAGGGTTGTTTTTTTAAATTTTATTTTGTCCACTGTGCCCACCCATTGTAAAGTTTAGGAGCAACTATCAAACGATTGCTAGCCTTGCGTTGCTTTCAGAAGAGAGCAGGGACCAAATTGTGGCTCATCTCTAGCAGGAGCTAAAGCGTAGGAAAAGAGAGCACATCTCAGACCAATATTCCTCCAACAGCTGGTGCACAGTAACACCAAAGAAAATACAGGAAGGCATTGGGCAAGTCTATCTGCTTTTGTTTAAACATACCTATTTCAAAGATGTCTCCATTTTGAATGTTTTTAATTTGCCATCATTGAAGTCAGTAGCAAAATGCCCATTCACTTCAATCTACAAAATCCGGCCCTCACTGAGACTTGATCCAGAACCACCAGAGAATGACATGTATGCTTGGATTTAAATTTTACAGTCCTTTCTGAATAAAATTAAACTCCATTATATTTATGCAGTTGCAAGGGGAACACTTTGCAATCCGAGCTGTTAAGTGCAGTGTAACAATCCTCAGTGTGTAGTGCTCTACAACTGTCTATCCTGAAATGTGTGTGGCTCTTTCACCTCGGTGTATTGTCAGGTTTGAATTTAGGTGTGAATTAAAGACTTTAAAAACACTCTATGATTGTAGGTCTAGAAGCAGCATATTTTAACTATCTATATATAATATTGGGTGCATATAGCTCCGCATCAGTGCCATCATCTACCACAACCATATGATTATTTATTGTGAAAGGATTTTTGCAAATGGATGCCAGAAATGTAAATGCACAGTCTTACAATCAGATGCAGTTTAAGATAGTGCCTGTAATGCTTTCTTCTTAAGTTGAAGAAAGTAGCAAACTACATAAACTATTTATAACTTTCATATGCTATTTATACATTCTCTCTCTCTGTTCCTGCTTCGTAGACTGAGTACAGCCTCCATTTGAAATTTTGTTCTGTAGGAAGTACACAGTAAAAAACCTTCAAAATCATAAAATGTTTAGGTTACTATTCTGGTTTTGTCAGATTTTTAAGAAAATTTTCTAGATTTGTTTGCTTTAGCTACAGAAAATTGAATGTATTTTTATTTTAGTATTTAGGTTCTATGCTGGTAAAAGAGTTAAGAGGCACAGAATCAACACAGGATGCCTGTGCAAAGATGAGGGTAAGTTAGTAAATATACAACCATAATTACAATAATAGATACTGATTACTGAATTAAAGTTACCTCTTTTTATATTTATGTCTGTTATTCATAATTTTTCACTGCCCTTGAAATCACATTGGTATTTAACAGAAAGTCCATTCTACCTTTTATCTTAAATTTATGCAGATATGATTTCCTACATCAGGTCTAAAATCTACATGTAGGAATTTTTGCGCTACATCTACTCTCAATTCTTTAGAAATATTTTAAAGTACTTTTTCTAGAACTTATCTTGACACTTATGAGTGAAAAAAGAAACGTTTTTAATATTACTACCAGAAGGAATTGATGCCTCACACACGGCCATGCAGATCTAGCTTACTAACTGGAACTGACTACTTGAGTAACATTAATGTATTCACTAGTATACATTTCCTAACTTGAAGCCTGATTCTGCAGTCACTTCAGCCCGTAAGTGGTATTCACATGGGCAGTCCCACCCTAAGATCACATACATGAGTAAAGTTACTCATGATTTAACACGATTATAGGATCACACCTTAAGAGATATATGCTGTTTTATTCTTTAGCAGAAAAACTGGTAGGTTTTTTCAGACTAACAAAGGCATGTTTGAGTAGCTCTTGTGTCTCGTTTTGGCTGCTAAAGAAATGATTATGAAAGCTAGTCTGGATCAAATAGGCATAATATTGAAAGAAATACGGAATCCGAACAGTCCAGCTACAGAATACCTGCCTGGTTGTAACAGTTTATTCTAAGCACATTCCAGTTGGCTGTGTTTACCTATATGTGGTAATCTGGAATGGGTAAGTGAATTGGAAAATATAATTGCCTAGTAATTGCATGCGGAGGCAAAATTACATATATGGATGAATGTAACATGTCCATTGATTTATTAATCTTATGTCTTCTATGCATAATGCCTTTTGAGTGCTAAACTAGCATTTGAGCCTGTTATGCAGTTAGAAAAGGTGTAAAAGTCACGCAGTCAGACAACTGTTCATTGGTTAAACATCTATAGTGCTCAGGCTTCCACACAACCAATTTTAGCTAAGGGTTGACAGTAATTTATGCTTACTAAATTGCCAGAAGACTTGTGGGGGGTTTTCAACCAACTGCATACTAATAATTCCTATTTGTTTGAAAACAACCACTTTTGGTATATGGAATGCTAGCCTACTTTTAAAGGATCTACAATCGCAAATGTGTGTGTGTTCTTCAGAGATACGGGGAAGGTCAAACCAACCACTTTGTTTTTCAGAACTATGCTTATGTATATTTGAGGGCAGAATATAACACTTCAGTAACATGACTTCCTCAATAAATTATCATCTGATTGAACTCAGAAACCCAACATCAAAAAATGTTATAAATAAGCTATTGTAAATTGATGAGTGTTTAGAAAGTGCCAGTACTTTGATTCAGATTTATGTATACCTTGATGATGTGTGCTGTGAAAATCAGCTCGATAAGGATTTCAGATTTTCCATAAGACTGAAAAAATTATATTGTTACAAAGCTTAATACAATTAAATATTATTCTGTTGTGTTTAAAACTAGTATCGCTATAAATATTCCATTTAAAAATAATGTTGAAGTTAGCATCCTTATTTTCTGTTTTTTCTTTTACTTTTCTCTTTCAAGGACCATTTTCATAAAAATACCGATTCCCTGTTTAGGATTTAATCTATTCTGCTTACTTCTTTTGTTTTATCTTACTTCTGTTAAAGTCAGTGGCAAAAAAAGCTCATGGACTTAATGGGAGAAGATCATTGCTTTGGTCTGAATGTCTTTCAGTGAGAAAATAGCGTGCAGTGATCCAAACATTTCTCCCTTCATTAGATACGCTGAATGTTGGTATCTCTGAATTAAGAGGACAAATTGTCCAAAGTTGTCCTTAGGTCCCAAGATGCTTAATTACTTATGTGCATTACTGTATTTTATGGCTCATTAAGTTTGCTTTGGCACTACCGCTTTATTATAATTTATTTTTGCCTTAATTTAAATGGACTAAAAATGTGAAATTTAATGTATTATTTGATTGCTCATCAGGTACAGAGCTCTGCTCACTGGTTCAAGCTCATTAAATTCAGAAAGATTGCACCAGGGTAACAGAGAGCAAAATTTGGCCCATTATCTTAACTCATATTTTCCCTTTTACATTCCTAAAGTTTAGAACTTGCTAAAGTTTGTGCTATAAATGAAACAAGTATTAGGTACTCTTCTTGGAGTCTGTCAGATCTTGTTTTCAGAGAAGGATCTGTGAAAATTAGGTGCCAAGAATTCTTGTTAGTTTGTCTTTCAGTACATACCTTTGACCTTATTCTGTTGAAAGTAATTTTAGTACACCCTTGATGAATGCTAACTTCCTGTCAGTAGATGCACAAGGCTGAAAGGGACCCATCAAAAAGAAAAGTATCTTGTTCTTCCTTAATCCTTCATAGACTCAAGAAAATTAGGAATGGAAATAAACCATTTTCAAGTAATATAATCTACCCCCTGCCAGGGCTGGAGTGTTCCTTTTAGTGTGTTTTTTTATGTCTTGGGTTTCTAGTCCTCAGTGTGATTGGAGGGAGTATCACAACCCCTAACAGGCCCAAAGATGTTAAAACTCCCTCTTATTGTTTAAGTGGAAGAGGGATCACAAATACTCTCTGTTTTGTTCTTATGGTTTCCCCGTCTTGGTCACTCATAGTTCTTCCCAATTTTATACAATACTACAATCAGTCACATAGCGGATTTGGTTGGGAAAACTGTACAGATACTTCAAGAAGTGATCTCAACATGACCCTCAAGGTTATACATTTTGTTATTCTCACCCAAATCTCAGATTTGCTTGCTTCTGAGAGCTTATCGCAGCTCTTGCACTCACCCAGAATTATAGCTGCTTGGCAAGAACTGCACCCAAGAGCTGGATTATACTTTTTTTTCTCTTGTTCACATAGTTTGCACTCCAGGACTGGATTTATTGTTATGGTTTTCTGCTTGTTTTTAGCTGTCTCCTCTTAAACATCTCTCCCTCCCTCTGCAGACCCTAGCATGGCCTCCTTATCCCTATCCTCCACCTGCTATAAGGTGACCTTTTGATACTTGGAGATTAAATCTTACTGTCCTGGCCCAGGTTTGTTTTATTAATTATACTTGAGAGATGCATCCAAGAAGTTAAGGACCTTTACCTCTAGCATAGAGTGGGAAATATTAAAATGTGCTCCCTTAGATCAGATGCATTTCCCTTTGTTTCAAATCTATGTTGGAGTTGGAAGAAAGAATAAACTGGTGGGGGAGAGGTCCAGCTGGAATGGGGAAAACTCCAATTTTCTACCTTGGGCTGTGTTTTGGTGTACACCCATCCAGATTTCTTGAATAGTCAAAGAGGACTGTGTTGTTCTTATTACCACTATGAACATATCAGCAAATTAGGCTACTTCACTGCCAGTACTCGTAAAGCCCTAAAGATGCACAACTAATTACACAGATGTTAACCAAACAGACCCTTGGAGCATTTGGGGACATTTGCAAGAAGATATATCCTTTCGATTCCAGTGCGTCTGGGCAACATGAAGCTCTATCTGTGTGTGGCAAATCAAGGTTCTAGGTTCCTGAACCAGCAGCTCATCACAGCATGTGTTTAAATGCTTTAATGAATTGGCATCAAATAATGCAAGGTGGAACTGTATAGAGACCCCCAAAACTTAAGAATCATAGCACACAAACTTCGGGTTTAGCAGAGTATAGCTGTGTGAGCTTAGGCACAGCACTGTGCCAATTAGCTGTCTTATGGTTTAGTCCTCACACCTCCAAAGGAAAGGATAAGCAGAAGAGTTTGTCCTCCTTGTGACAACTGAGAGCCCTCTTTATTAAGGTCCAAATATTTTCCTCCTCCTTACCCAACTTTTCACCTTTATATGGGGGGTGGGGAATAGTGAAGACCTCCCTGGTATCTTCCAGCTGATTCCGAGAGCAGGGAGAAGAGATGAGATTATGCAATGTGCTGAAAAAGCCCATAGCAAAGCATTCCCTATCTGCCCCTCTCTGTGTGCTCCACCATGAAAGATTTAATGATTCTATTGCTTGAAATGTGGGATCTGTAACTTTATTAATTTATAGCAAGACCCATTCAAAGCCTCTGCAGGGGCACTATTCGCATCTTTATAGGGCTAAGGTAAAGTAAAACTAATAAAAATCATACTTGACAACTTGTGGCAAAGGAGCAGCACTTGTCAGATACCAATTTAAAGTGCTCATCTCAGGCTAATTAAATTGGCTTTTGCAAAATATGTCTCTGAGGTGAACTTTGTTCTGGCTCAAGCAAAAGCTATAAGTATGGGGGGGAAAAAAAACATGAGCAGAAAAACAGTTTGCAGTTTAATTTGGTGCTCAAATACAATAAATAATACCCAGCATTTATCACATTAGATGGCAGATATGTACACAGCTTTTCAAGAATTACCATATTTACCTGATATCAAGTCTACTTTGAATTTATGACAGTCCATCCAATAATCAGATTTCATACATGGATTATTATATTTGTTATAATTCTCCATGTATAGAATCTAATTAATAGACAGTTGTCTTATATTCATCCCCTCCCACTGTTGTGGCAGGTAAGGAGTAGCAAGCGATGAGAGGCCAGACCCACATCCATTGTCCCCTGCCCCTGTTTTGCGCCCCCCCAGACCACTAGTGGGAGGGGGGAAACTTTTGTCTTGGATTTGAATAAGTATGGTAATTAAAGTGTTTTGTGTTATTTATATTTAAAAGATCATTAAGTTTAGATCACATTTTAGATATGTAATATTTATTATTATTCTATTGACAGGATTAGACCTCTCCTTATAGCTAATATCTAATGTAAAAATGAAATAATTCCAAATACCAGCATGGGAGCTCTCTTATCTAATGTATAAAGTGAAATAGTCTAATTTCTGCCACCATTTTTATGCCTGATGTGAATGCAAAAGGCATTTGATGTTTCAGAATGGAGTAATTTGTTTGC